GCTAGAACTTTGGGCTTTGGGTCCTGCTTGAACACCGGCATCCTACTCCAACACTGAGGCCCGGAGCTCTGCAAGTGGTCACAGTGCTGGTGATTTCTGTGGAGAGCAGCTGTATATGGGTCGTCTAATATTCTCAGAGAAGATGCAGTATTCCAACTAGACGAGATCTGGATCAAAGAGCAACACAGAATGCTTTCTCCCTCTGGCCCGCCATCTTGAGAAATCCCCCATCTTTGCTTCTATCATAACTAGACTGAAGTCACAGTAGGCTCCTACAGGTGAAGTACAATGTGTGACTGAAGAGGAAGGTGCTGCACTCCAGAAGCACTACTTAGATTTTCTAACTTGTACTTTCCTAGACAGAAATCTGGGGAAAATATATGCAAATGGATATTAAGGGCATGGGATCATCATGGGAAGTATATAAAGTTGTATCAGGTTGAATTTAGTGGTATGGGTGCAGTAAGCAGAGATTAGCATGTAATGTTGCAGAATCTCAAGGAATTAGAAAGGATTTGGTCTTTGCTCATTGTCTGAAACATAGGCCAAACTGTGATCCAGTGAGTTAGAAATGTCAGAAGTGCCTTGGTTTAATGTAGAAGAAGGAATTCAAGGACTTTCAGTGATTGGAATGTTATAATGGATTTGTCATTTAAGACCTACTCACTCACCCTGGGATAGCCCAGAAGACATACCTTTTACCAAAATTGTGAGAAAAGTCTTAGCATCTCTGAAGAGCTCTGTTGTCACTCTTCTCTGAAGGCCACACCTTATAGTAGAAACTACAGCCATTAAATTAGGAAACCTAAATTCAATGTTTGCTAATCAGGTTTTTGTCAATGTGACAAACCTGAGGTAAAAAACTTAAAAGGAGGAAAAATTTATTTGGCACATGGTTTTATAAGTTTAAGTCTATGATCACTTGGCCCCATTAGTTTGGACTTCTAGTGAAACTGCACCATAGTCTGGAGACCAACCTTTAGCACATGGGCCTTTGAGGGAACATTTAACCATAACACAATGGGAATCACTGGGTTACAGGGTAGCCAGAGTACAGTGGCAGTAATCAGCCACTAAGGCAAGGTAAGTATGGTTATCATAATGGACAGCAGAATCAAAGCGGCAATCAAAATAGATTTACTTATAGAAACTTATGGCATTGGCTTTTGGTGTTCCTAGAAGTGAAAACTGATAGGAGGCCTATTAATTTCTTACTTGATTTGTATAAGCAGAAAGGTTCTAAGCCAAATGAACAAAAGTCTAACTTGAATTATAAGAACAGAGAATCATGGCCCCTCAGTCAATTTCCAGACTTCAGCCAGTTTATATGCCAGAAACACATGAATAGGAGGCTGTATCCCCTCGAGGGTACACTGCCAAAAATTTATACCACTAATCTTTCCCCAAAGAGACCTATGGTCTTTTCCAGGGAACTGTGCATTGGAGGAAAAGAATAAAAATACCCTTTGGGTATTATTAGACATTTGTTTTGAATTGACCCTGATTCCAGGAGACCCCAAATGTCACTGCATTCCACCAGTTAGAGCAAGGGATTAATGGAGGTCACTTATCAAAGGAGTTTTTGCTCAGGTCTACCTCATAATTGGCCCAATGGGTCCCCAACTCACCCTGTGGTTATTTCTCCAGTTCTGAAATGCACATTGGGATGGGTATACTCAAGCAGCTGGTAGAATCCTCAAACTGGTTCCCTGACCTCTAGAGTGAGGCTATTATGATGGGAAAGGCTAAGTGAAGGTCACTAGAATTGTCTCTCTCTAGGAAAATAGTAAACACAGAGCAATATTGTATTCCTAAGGAATAGCAGATATTACTGTAACCATCTAGGATATGAAAGATGCAAGGGTGGGTATTTCTACCATATCCTCATATAACTCTCCGATTTGGTCTGTAAAGAAGAAAGATGGAGAATGACATCTTAGGAAAGCTTAATTAGGAGGTGGTACCTATTGCATTGGTCTTGCCATGTTCCCTACTATCCTGAAATACAACTAGTTTTATTGAAGTGGTCTTTTGAAAACTCAGTTATAACAACAGTTAGGTGGGAATGCCTTGTGGGGTAGGGCAAATTTCTCTAGTATATACTTTGAATCAGTGTCCAATATATGGAATCATTTTTTTCATAGGCAGGGTTCAAGTGATGAAAATGGGAGTGGTACCACTCATTATTAGTAGGGACCTTTTAGAAAAAATTCTGCTTCTTGTTCCTGCAAGCCTATACTCTCTTGACCTAAAGAACATAGTTTTAAAGGGAGGAATGCTTACCATGTTACCAAGCCCCTTATGAACCCATCCTGTTTCATATCATGTGTCTCACCATCTATTTCCCTTTTTTTCCCCCTCAAGCACCCCTGTGTGATCAGCACATGTACTGATGCCTGATCTATGTCAGATATGTGAGGTAAAACAGGTGTGAGCTGGTTTGGATGCCATCTTGACCTATGTTTGCCCTCCAAGCTTCATTTTAATGCATTTCCATAGTAACTCTCCCACCTGTTAGTGGCATGACTGTTTACTAGTTCAGCAATCCCAAGAACTGGCAAAATGTGGTCAGTTATGTAGAGGAGGGGTGTGGGGAGACAGAGTTCCTGGAGGCAAAAGTGGTCTTTCCTGGAAATGATGAATGTTCCCCCATTTATCTGTCCCCTGGTCCCTTCCTACCTTCCAAATCTATATAATTTCATTCTTTTTCTTGCTTGGATTGAGTTGGAAAATTCTGTGGCAGAAAAGACTCCTGTTCCTCCCTTGACTGGCCATTGAACAAAGACTTTCATTCTGTTTAATTGTTCTCCAGTGTCATTACTGGCTCTGCTCTGGGGAAAAAGAACCCAAGAGTTGGAGAAATAATGAGTGACACCCAGAGGCACAAAGATAATTCTATCGAATTGGAAGTTAAGAGAGCCACCTGTCCACTTTGGGCTCCTCATGGCCTTGAATCAACAGGCAAAAGAGGAAGTTACTTTGGGGTGACAGATCCTGACAACCAAGGGAGAATTGGACTATTCTTCCACAATGGAGGGAACTAAGAGTGTCTGGAATAGAGGAGATACCTTAGGGCTTCTCCTAATATTCATGTCCTGTGATTAAGGTCAATGGGAAACTACCATAACTTGACTCAGGCAGAACTACTAATGACCCAGATAGATACATTAGGAATGAAGGTTTGAGTCACCCCACCAGAAAATGAACCACAACTAGCTGAGATGTTTCCCAAAGGCAAACAAATACAGAATGTGTAGTGAACAACAGTAGTTATAAATACCAGTTATGGACACATGGCCAGTAACAGAAACGAGGACTGTAATCGTCCTGAATAGTTCCTCCTTACTTTGTTATGACTATGTGGGTGTATGTGTATGTAATCTTTTTTTTTTCCCTCTCTAATTTCCTTATCATGTAGCATAAGCTGTGCTGACTCTATATCAGTATTTAATTATTGTTAACTTTCCATCAAAGAACTTAAGTTCTATAATTACAGGGAGAAGAGTAAACATTCAAGGAACTGAACTGCTAGAGAAGCAGTTAGTGTCTTTTTAGTTGTATGTAAGATATTGTATCATGTAAGGTAGAATTTTGACTTTGTTGTGTTTGAGTTTCAGTTTGATTTAAGGAGATGCATATGAGTGCCAGGTTGGCATAGAATGGACTTGTCGTGGCTAATTTTATGGGACAATTTGACTGGACTGTGGTTCCCAGGCATCTGATAAAAAATTATTCTTGGTGTTTTTTGTGAGGATTTTTTTTTGGGGGGGTACCAGCAATTGAACTCAGGGGCACTCAACTACCGAGTCACATCCTCAGCCCTATTTTGTATTTTATTTAGAGACAGGATTTCATTAAGTTGCTTAGCACCTTGCTTTTACTGAAACTGGCTTTGAACTCTTGATCCTCCTGCCTCAGGCTCCTGAGCCACTGGGATTAGAGGTGTGCGGCACCTGGCATAAGGATTTTTTTGTATGAGGTTAATATTTGAATCACTAACTGAGCAAAGCTGGTAGCCTTCAATACCTTCAATAAAGTTGTCAATCTTCATCCAACCCAAATGAAGACCCAAATAGAACAAAAAGGCTGATCCTCTTTTAAGTAAGGGAGTTCTTCTTGCCAGATAGCCTTTAAATTGGAACATTGGCTTTTATTTTTTTCTGCCTACAAACTGAAACTGAAATATTGACTCTTTTTGGGTCTCAAATATACAATCTTCAGAGTGGAACTTCCTGTGTCTCCACCTTGCCAACTCACTCTGTCAATTTTGGCATGTGCAAATCTATAATCATGTGAGCCAATTACTTTATGCACATATACTATTGGTTCTGTTTCTCCAGACAACCCTGGGTATGACAGTAACACATTGAATGGATACTTGACTCATCTCCTACTATGATGAAAAATATCCAATTTGCCAAGAAGATACCTGAAATACTTCATTATAATCAAGATAAATGTTTTATAAGATATTTAAAGAAAAGAAAAAAGAACAACAATCAGAAGGAAGCACAATTTCCATATATTAGAATCAATAGTTACATTAATTTATAATAAAATGTAAGAAAAATATGGGGCAAATATAGTAGTCAGGACATAAAGATTTGTATGTGATATATTCTCTCCTAGTTTCAGTTTTTTATATGTGCTGTCTTTATAATGGATTAGAGATATATTATGTTGCTTTTCGGATATAAACCAGTATGTTAGCATGTAAGGACAAAGTTTTTTTTTCCCCTTTAGGAATGAAAGTGACCTAATATAACCTCTATTTGTCCCTCTATCACTATATCAATATGTAATATATATTATTGCATTTTAGTATTACACATTTCAGTGCAACTTACATATTCTTGCAGTACATGTAAGGTTAAATTAACAGAGATAAAACTTTATAGAGAACACCTTTTAGTTTTGGGAAAAAGGCATTTTAAATTAATTTTGGGTGGACTTGCCCTAGTGCAATAATTATAATTAATAAATATCTATTTCTTTTTCAGTGTTCAGACAGAATTCATGGCATGTGATTAAGTGGCATGAGGTAAGAATGTGTTTAACTTTAAACTTAGCAATAAAGTACTACCTTGTATTTAAAATTACAAGATCTTGAATTTAAAATTCACAGATCTTTATCTGTGAAGCACATCTTCAAGAACCATATTATCCCCAATTTATAGGTGAGAAAATAGAGGACCATAGAGAATAAGTATCTTGCTCAGGTCCCACAGCTAATAAGTGGAGAAAATGGAACTTGAACTCAAGTCTGTCTAGTTGGAAGTCAAACACTTTCTAATGTATCTTGGCATTATCTGTGTCATTGCATGGAATATTTAAAGCTAATACTTTAAAACTATTGTGTGTAGGACAAGTCAGATTTTATATGGTAAGTATCTCAGGGAATGCTATGCTATGAATATTTGTCCTGCCATAATAAAATACCTAGATTTGGTGGACTGTAAATAATAAAAAAAAATTTCTCTCAGTTCTGGAGTCTGGAAGTCTAAGATCAAGGTACTGGCAGTGTCTGGTAAGGGCCCGCTTCCCCACATATGTCTAGCCACCTCCTTATATAGTGGAGGGAGTGAAACAGCTCGTGAGGCCTCCTTCATAGAGCACTAATCCAATCATGAAGGATTCACCTTTGTGGTGTAATCCCCTCCCAAAGGCCCTGCCTTTTAATGCATTCACATTGGGGATTAGAATCTCAGCATAATAAATTATGGCAGACACAAACATTCAAATCATAGCAAGATCCAAGTTAAAGGCATACTGACTGTTTTGGAGGCCAGATGTTGATTTTGTCCTCATTGGTAATTTGTTGATGACCGATGTAAAAGTCTTTGGATAGCAAACTTTAAGAATGTTTTGATTTTTAAAGTATCATCAATATTTCTTTCCTTGAGTGAGGTAAAACAGGTAACCCAATAATGACTGAATTTTGTTCCTCTCATTGGGACTCAGAGAAATAAGCCACTGAAAGGTCACACTCCATTTCTAGGGATAGTCTTAGTAGAGCTGGATAGTGAATGGCAGTCTGATTCCTGCGAACAGGAAGCTAGTGAGGCTGCAGGGTGGGCTTCCTGCTGAGCAAAAGGTGACTTCTATGGTCTGGCTGTGGTTTGTCTCCTAAAGAATCATTTTCTGGAAGCTTATTTCCTAGAGCACTAGTGTTAAGGAAAAGAGGAGGCTGGGCCTAATAGAAAAGGGTTGGGTCATTAGGGACTTGGAAGGGATTAACGTAGTTCTTGTGAGATCCTGGTTATTTCATGTGAGAGTGACTTGTTACAAAAGAGTAAGCCTGGCTCCTCAAGCCCTCTGCCTTACTGTCTTAACATGTGATCTCTTCCACATATTCTTGACATGATGCTATCTTTTGTATTTTGATGTAGCCAGTAGGCCCTCATCAGAACTGAGCAGATACTGGCATCATGCTCTTGAATCTCTCTAGGACTGTGACTAAATAAACCTTTTTTTAATAAAGTATCCAGCCTCAGGTATTTTGTCATAGCAATATAAAATGGACTAAGACAATGAGGATACAGTTGAGATCTAATTTATCCCCAATGTCTTGCACTGGCACGTCAAGTCAAGCAGCCAAAGCCAGGAACTCAGAATTCTTGTTCCTCTGAATACTTTCTATACCATTTGCATGGTGCCATAATCAAGCGAAGCACTTTAAACATGAGGTGTTTAAAAAAGGAAGAGGTAATTAACCTGGTTACTGTGGACAAAGAAGAAAAAAGTTTGTAAGAGTTGTGATGCTAATGACTTTCAACAGGTCTGCTGTCATGTCCTAGGGTACATATTTTTCTACATAGATATTGGTTTTGTGGGAAAATCTAGTTTTAATTGCAACTTGTCTCATTTCAGTATTTTTTAGACCTTGTAAGCTGTTTATGTTATAAATACTACATTATTCACTGCAATGTGAAATTTATATATGATATGGATGTTTTATTATTTTTTTTAATATAAATATATTTTATTTAGAACCCATTTTATGATCAATGGATGTTTTATTGTTGATCTTTATTTTTCCTCTAAGGTTGAACTTGTCCCCTAAATTTTAAAGACACAATGTAGCTTTTAAGGCTTTCCTCACTTGAACCTCCACATCTGCAGGTTTCACTTCCAAAGATTCAACCAGCCATAGATGGAAAATATTCTAAAAGAAAATTTCATCTATTCCGAATATGTCACTTTTCTTAACAATGTCATGTAACAACTATTTCCATAACATTACATTGTATAATATATTATAAATCATCTAGTGATGATATAAAGTCTATGGGAGGATGTGCATAGGTTCTTTGCAAATACCCTACAATTTATATAAGAGATTTTCTCTGCTGTCATAGAACAGCTGAGGAAAGCAGGCCATAAGCAAGGCATTACAGTGTGATTTGGTATGAATACCACATCATTGTAGAGACAGTATCTCTTTCCTTTTGTATCTCTTTTAACATTTCATTGTAGAGCAAGATTGGTCAACTGCAGCACTACTCACAATTGACACTGGATCATTCTTTGTGGTGGGGCTTACTGGGCATTGTGGAATGTTTAACAACATCCCTGGCCTCTATTCACTAGATACTAGTAGCTTCATCTCCCTTACTCCCACAGTTGTGACAATAAAAATAGTCTCCAGCCATTGCCAACTGTCTCCAGTTTGATGGGGATGGGGGTGGTGGTGGTGCAGGGGGGCAGACTCACCCTTGGTTAAGAACAACTGTTTTAGATGAATGGATTCATTAGTAAATAAAATTGTTCTAATGTAGCCAAAATTTATTAGGATGACTAAATGAGTCTTATATTGTACTTTTTCTTGAGGACATTTAACATATTTTATGTGTGCTTTTAAATTTCACCCTCCCCTCTTCTGTCTCCTGGCTTAAAAAGGTAAATGTGGGTGACATTGTGAAGACTTTGAATGAGGAGTTCCTTCCTGCAGACATGATCCTGATTTCTTCCAGGTTAGTTCTGTTAAAGGCATTTAAGGAACTGTTATTCTGAATTGTAAATTTTAAGAAAACAAGGGCAGAGGATACTTTCCCCTACTTTATTCTTTTAACCTTATGATAAACCAGTGGCATCAAACTTTTTCTGGAAAGGAACATATAATAAACATGTTCAGCTTTGTGGGCCACACAGTCTCTTGAATCTCCCTTTGTAACATCAGGCAATGTTGTAACATAGGCGATGTAAACCACCAGGTTTACAATAGAACCTATTTATAAAAATAGTCAGGGGCTACGTGTAGACTGTGCATCATATTTTGTTCACCCATGATTGATAATTTATTTACCTTTAATTTCCCTGAATATATTTTCTTCTATTCTACTGCTTAGATTGATTTCATCCCTTCTATAATTTCTATGGACATTTGACTAAACTAAAAAAAAAAGTCATGTTGACTTATTTCAGTATCATGGCAATTGTGAGGTATTCTCTTTCTAAAAGCATGCTGCCTCACATAGAAATTAAGTTATTTACTCAGGATCACTGTGTGGGTTTGTGTTAAGCCCAAGTTTTAAAACAGTGTCTACTCCTTTTATAGAACTATACTGCTTTATTTGGCAGCTGTTTGGGAGGAAACTTTAGAAAGACACTCCTTTCCATTTGGTCCTATTTTACTAGCTCCATGTTTTCTCCTGTGGTGGATCCCCTGGGGAATCCAGGTGCCCATCCCTCATGTACATAGTAAGACTATGTGGTGGACTGGGTGACTGTGGGTGAGAGTAACCACAGTAATGAACACGGCCACATTTAACATGTTTGGCAGGCTGGGATCCTCAGAATAAGTCACAATCATCTCAAAGGGATCCAAAAAATGTTTCCAACCTTCTGAATACACATTATCTTAGAGCATGAAATTCTTGAGAAGAGAGATTAATTCTGGATCCATTTGCTAAACTTCTAGAAAACCAGTTAATGCCTACACAAACTCTTCTTGCTGTCAGTTGCACTTTGTTCTTTTGCAAACAATGGGTTAACAAAGTTGAGAAAGTAATTTAACTGTTACTGATGTCTGTTTCCCACTTGGATTTGTCTCAGCGAATGGGGTTGATCCAGGATGCCACAAGAGGGTTTGTTTTTATTTCATCTATGTCAGTTTTTTTTTAAATTTTTTTTATTGTTGGTTGTTCAAAACATTACATAGTTCTTGATATATCATCTTTCACACTTTGCTTCAAGTGGGTTATGAACTCCCATTTTTAGCCCATATACAGATTGCAGAATCACATCAATTACACATCCATTGATTTACATATTGCCATACTAGTGACTGTCGTGTTCTGCTACCTTTCCTATCCTCTACTATCCCCCCTCCCCTCCCCTCCCCTCCCCTCTTCTCTCTCTACCCCCTCTACTGACCTTCATTTCTCCCCCTTGTATTATTTTTCCCTTTCCCCTCATTTCCTCTTGTATGTTCTTTTGTATAACCCTGAGGGTCTCCTTCCATTTCCATGCAATTTCCCTTTTCTCTCCCTTTCCCTCCCACCTCTCATCTCTGTTTAATGTTAATCTTCTTCTTATGCTCTTCGTCCCTACTCTGTTCATAGTTACTCTCCTTATATCAAAGAAGACATTTGGCATTTGTTTTTTAGGGATTGGCTAGCTTCACTTAGCATAATCTGCTCTAGTGCCATCGATTTCCCTGCAAATTCTATGATTTTGTCATTTTTTAATGCAGAGTAATACTCCATTGTGTATAAATGCCACATTTTTTTTATCCATTCGTCTATTGAAGGGCATCTGGGTTGGTTCCACAGTCTTGCTATCGTGAATTGAGCTGCTATGAACATCGATGTAGCAGTGTCCCTGTAGCATGCTCTTTTTAGGTCTTTAGGGAATAGACCAAGAAGGGGAATAGCTGGGTCAAATGGTGGCTCCATTCCCAGCTTTCCAAGAACTCTCCATACTGCTTTCCAAATTGGCTGCACCAATTTGCAGTCCCACCAGCAATGTACAAGTGTACCCTTTTCCCCACATCCTCGCCAGCACTTGTTGTTGTTTGACTTCATAATGGCTGCCAATCTAACTGGAGTGAGATGGTATCTTAGGGTGGTTTTGATTTGCATTTCTCTGACTGCTAGAGATGGTGAGCATTTTTTCATGTACTTGTTGATTGATTGTATGTCCTCCTCTGAGAAGTGTCTGTTCAGGTCCTTGGCCCATTTGTTGATTGGGTTGTTTGTTCTCTTATTGTCTAATTTTTTGAGTTCTTTGTATACTCTGGATATTAGGGCTCTAGCTGAAGTGTGAGGAGTAAAGATTTGTTCCCAGGATGTAGGCTCTCTATTTACCTCTCTTATTGTTTCTTTAGCTGAGAAAAAACTTTTTAGTTTGAGTAAGTCCCATTTGTTTATTCTTGTTATTAACTTTTGTGCTATGGGTGTTCTATTGAGGAATTTGGAGCCCGACCCCACAGTATGTAGATTGTAGCCAACTTTTTCTTCTATCAGACGCCGTGTCTCTGATTTGATATCAAGCTCCTTGATCCATTTTGAATTCACTTTTGTGCATGGCGAGAGAAAGGGATTCAGTTTCATTTTGTTACATATGGATTTCCAGTTTTCCCAGCACCATTTGTTGAAGATGCTATCCTTCCTCCATTGCATGCTTTTAGCCCCTTTATCAAATATAAGATAGTTGTAGTTTTGTGGATTGGTTTCTGTGTCCTCTATTCTGTACCATTGGTCCACCCGCCTGTTTTGGTACCAGTACCATGCTGTTTTTGTTACTATTGCTCTGTAGTATAGTTTGAAATCTGGTATCGCTATACCGCCTGATTCACACTTCCTGCTTAGCATTGTTTTTGTTATTCTGGGTCTTTTATTTTCCATATGAATTTCATGATTGCTTTCTCTATTTCTACAAGAAATGCCATTGGGATTTTGATTGGCATTGCATTAAACCTATAGAGAACTTTTGGTAATATCGCCATTTTGATGATGTTAGTTCTGCCTATCCATGAACAGGGTATATTTTTCCATCCTCTAAGATCTTCTTCTATTTCTCTCTTTAGGGTTCTGTAGTTTTCATTGTATAAGTCTTTCACCTCTTTTGTTAGGTTGATTCCCAAGTATTTTATTTTTTTTGAAGATATTGTGAATGGAGTGGTTGTCCTCATTTCCATTTCAGAGGATTTGTCGCTGATATACAGGAATGCCTTTGATTTATGCGTATTGATTTTATATCCTGCCACTTTGCTGAATTCATTTATTAGCTCTAATAGTTTCTTTGTAGAGCCTTTTGGGTCTGCTAGGTATAGAATCATATCATCTGCAAATAGTGATAATTTAAGTTCTTCTTTTCCTATTTTGATGCCTTTAATTTCTTTCGTCTGTCTAATTGCTCTGGCCAGCGTTTCGAGAACTATGTTGAACAGAAGTGGTGAAAGAGGGCATCCCTGTCTTGTTCCAGATTTTAGAGGGAATGCCTTCAATTTTTCTCCATTCAGAATGATGCTAGCCTGAGGCTTAGTATAGATTGCTTTTACAATATTGAGGTATGTTCCTGTTATCCCTAGTTTTTCTAGAGTTTTGAACATAAAGGGATGCTGTACTTTGTCGAATGCTTTTTCCGCATCTATCGAGATGATCATATGGTTCTTATTTTTAAGTCTATTGATGTGGTGAATAACATTTATTGATTTCCGTATATTGAACCAGCCTTGCATCCCAGGGATGAATCCTACTTGATCATGGTGCACAATTTTTTTGATATGTTTTTGTATCCGAGTGGCCAGAATTTTATTGAGGATTTTTGCATCTAGGTTCATTAGAGATATTGGTCTGAAGTTTTCTTTCTTTGAAGTGTCTTTGTCTGGTTTAGGTATCAGGGTGATGTTGGCCTCGTAGAATGAATTTGGAAGTTCTCCCTCTTTTTCTATTTCCTGAAGTAGCTTGAAAAGTATTGGTGTTAGTTCCTCTTTAAAGGTTTTGTAAAATTCTGCTGTATACCCATCCGGTCCTGGGCTTTTCTTAGATGGTAGTCTTTTGATGGTTTCTTCTATTTCCTCGATTGATATTGGTCTGTTTAGGTTGTCTATATCCTCCTGACTCAATCTGGGCAGATCATATGACTTAAGAAATTTATCTATGCCTTCACTATCTTCTAATTTATTGGAGTATAAGGATTCAAAATAGTTTTTGATTATCTTCTGTATTTCTGAAGTGTCTGTTGTGATATTGCCTTTTTCATCCCGTATGCTAGTAATTTGAGTTCTCTCTCTTCTTCTCTTTGCTAGCATGGCTAAGGGTCTGTCGATTTTGTTTATTTTTTCAAAGAACCAACTTTTAGTTTTGTCAATTTTTTCAATTGTTTCTTTTGTTTCGATTTCATTAATTTCAGCTCTGATTTTAATTATTTCTTGCCTTCTACTTCTTTTGCTGTTGTTTTGCTCTTCTTTTTCTAGGATTTTGAGATGAAGTATGAGATCATTTATTTGTTGGTTTTTTCTTTTTTTAAGGAATGAACTCCAAGCAATGAATTTTCCTCTTAGAACTGCTTTCAATGTGTCCCATAGATTCCGATATGTTGTGTCTGTGTTTTCATTAATCTCTAAGAATTTTTTAATTTCCTCCTTGATGTCTTCTATAACCCATCGATCATTCAGTAACCTATTGTTCATTCTCCAATTGATGTATGCTTTTTCCTTCCTTCTTTTATCGTTTTTCAGTTTCATTCCATTTTGATCAGATAGGATGCATGGTATTATCTCTTCTCCTTTATATTGTCTAAGAGTTTCCCTGTGACATAATATATGATCTATTTTTGAGAAGGATCCATGTGCTGCTGAGAAAAAAGTGTAACTGCTTGATGTTGGGTGGTATATTCTATATATGTCAATTAAGTCTAGGTTATTAATTGTGTTATTGAGTTCTATAGCTTCCTTATTCAACTTTTGTTTGGAAGATCTGTCCAGTGGTGAGAGAGGTGTGTTGAAGTCTCCCATGATTATTGTATG